ATTATTTTTTTAAGTCTCTTTTTGATAGCATCTGGAAGGCAAAGGGCGGAAGAAATAACCATCTAATAATGTTTTTCTTTTTGAGGTGCAGGTTTCTGAACTGGTTAAGCTAAATTGTTTGGGAGATGACATCCTTCCACTTAAATTGTAGTTGATAAATAACTATTGCCTGCATGACCCATGGCTGCCAGAAATTCTAGTCTAGTCGGCAATATTTCATGTGAGCAACTGGCGGGGAGGAGGGAGACAGGACAGTTCAGTGCAGTAGCAGAACTAAAAATCTCTTAAAAACCTCCCTATGGTGCTGGCTTCAGGCAGTTTAGGCAGTCAGGCTTTAAAGCAAACCTGGAGAGAGATGTTTGGTAAAAGGAAATTGTACAGTACCATAAATAATAAATGGGTGTTCAGCACTTTACGTCAGGGCCAGGTCATTATGATAATGACTAGCCAATTGCCCGTCAAGAATGATGGGGTGGGGAGGGTGGGAGGAAGGGGAGGGGCTGGGATGGAGTGCCGCCACCTAATGTCCCATGCCACCCTTTGTCCGGTCCTTGGCTTGGCTTTGGAATCCAGGCAGCGCTCCCCCGTGCTTGGAGCACTCTGATTGGCTGTTTGCATCACCCAATCAGAGCGCGAATAAAGTGTTACGGACAGACAGACAGACCCGGGCTTTTATAATACTAGAATCGTAGTTCGTTTCTGGTGAAGTTGACTGAAGAATGCGTAAGACATTTAAAAAGAAGTTAAGCCTCTGTTTAAAGGATCCACCTGCATGTCATTCTTCAGTTGTTGGGTGTATTCAGGAAACAACATGCCAGATCGGATCATTTTACAGTCCCCCATGTATTTGGGGCACCAGAATGTGTAGTTCCATTTTTTATTTGGCTTCCTCTGACTTCACCTGCAGGCAGTAAAGGGAGAAAGCTCTGCAATTAAAAATGTATGCAAAAGCACTTTTGCTAGATCCTAGGTAGGAATCAAATTCCTAATTTAATTCGTAGGTAGCAATTAAACTTGTCAGTGGAAGAAAATTTAGGTACTGGTGTTTAACTGATGTAAAATGTACTCTTATGTCACTAGTGGCTGGTTATAAAGCGTGTTAAGGGGAGGACCCAAGCCAGTAGAAAAGGTGAAATGGAAAGGAAGGTCTAGTTGTTTAGCTTTCCAGTGTGTTTTTCTGATTATGCATCTTGTCTCCTATTCTGCACATGTCTTGAACTATAGAAGAAACAGAGTTCTTGTGGTATGAATGCTGTGTCTGGTATTGGGTTGACTGTTGCAGCTGATCAGCATGGATAAGTGAGTTAGAAGATTTGTTCTTATGTAAAAAGAAATTTTAAAACATCCTAATCTCTTTATTGGCAAACAAGATATTATTCTTGTGCAACAGATGTATGCAAGTACATTGCCAGGGTTCCTATGACTAAATTGGTGTTTGTTTTGAATAAAACAGATTCAACTTGTTCAATTTATTCCCTTCTCTCCCCCCGTGCCCAGGTTAGTTGACTTCAAATCTGGGGAGTTGTCTTTTTGGTACTTTCTTAAAGAAACATTTAAAGGGTCCTTGATTTTTGCATACAGAATTCTTCTTGTCATATCCTTTACAGACAGGCAAGTCGGATCCTGAAAAAATTGGCTTTTTGTTCACAAAAAGCACGTGTTAAATGTCTTTTTTTTTTAATTTTCCAATGGATAGAGTATTTTTCTAGTGGATAGAGCACTGGGCTGTATTCCTACCTCTGCTTTGCCCTGTTAGGTCACCTTGAATAAATCCCTTGGTCTCACTGTGTCCCATTTTTTTCTTGCCTTTTAAAATGGATATGGTTACACTAACCTCCCGTATAAAATGCTGAGATGTACAGATTTATAGATGGCCTAGGTCATTGATTTTCAACCAGGGTGCCACGGCACCTGGTGTCTTGAGATCCTTTCAAGGGTGCCACAGAGTGCCATTAAGTATTAGCACTACTAGGTGTGCACACATAAGCCCAGAGGTTTCAAATAAGAATCCAGTGTAACAAATGTTCAGACCTGTTGTGGTTTTTCTGAGTTCTTTGCAATAGAAGACTTTTTCTCTTTTTCTTTTCTGTAGTCAAAAAAATAAGTGAAAAACGAAGAACTTGCATTTTCTGAGTAGTGCCTTGAGTCTAAAAAGATTGAACTACTAGCCTAGGTATTATATATTATTTATCCCAAGGACTATTTTCTTGTATATAAAACACTTAAAATAAATGCAGTGCATAAAATCAAGAAATTTCACATTTCCTTATGTGTCTAAGTTAAGCCTTTTTTTTTTTCCCTTTCCTCAGTTGACTACATCGTGGAATATGATTATGATGCAGTGCATGACGACGAATTAACGATCCGAGTTGGGGAAATCATCAAAAATGTGAAAAAATTAGAAGAAGAAGGATGGCTAGAAGGGGAGCTAAATGGGAAAAGGGGCATGTTCCCTGACAATTTTGTAAAGGCAAGTTCTCTGTATTAACTTTAGTCTGCTCCACTAGCTTAGGGGCTATTTTAAGCATATAATAACATTGTAACAAGATTCATATTTATATTGTTTTATTAAGCAAATTATTTTACTGATCTTATTCTTTAGGTCTGTTCTAAAAAGATTTACTTTCCCCCCTCATGTTTCCGAATAAAGTTAAAAGTAGTTACAGTACTGTTTATCCACGTTTGCTTTAATACTTTTTAGTGCTTGTCTCATCACTGAATCCTTAGTTCTTCAAGGCTTATTCGTTTTCTGGCATTTTTACTTGTGTTATAAAACATTTATCATGTTACTATGAAGACATGTTTTTAAAAAATGCTTTATTTGTGCTATTTGGCTTTAAGGGAGAAGACAAGTGCCTAAGCTTACTCTGAGTCATAAATATTTTCTCTTTGCTTCTGCTAAGCAAAGTATTTTTTTTGTACTTCCAGTGTTCTTGAAAAATCCATTTTTTCAGGCTTAACTGTTTCTTTCACTTCTGTATGTCTTAGTCTGATGTACTCCATGCAGTGATCTTTATTACTTCCTTCTTTTAATGCCCTCTTGATATCTGAAGTTTGCCTGAGAAATTACTTCATTAGGTGCTTTTTAACCTTTCTGAGCAGCTCTGAGGGTTTCCTTAGCTTAGCTTTCCTAGTTAAAATTATGATCAAAGAATTTAGATAAATTCCCTTTTATACTGTCTTATGACTTGTATATTACCGTATTTACTTGAATTTAAGTTGACCCTGAATTTAAGACAACCCTGCAATAATTAGATTCTTTGTATGGGAATTTTATACATTTGTTATAATTTACCAGGTATAGAATCCAACTATCAGAGGGTCATCTTGAATTCTTCACCTTCCCATTGCTTGAATAGGGGAAGATAGTGGCTGGGAGGAGATCAGGTGACCCCTTGCCCTTTTTCCGCCCCCACTACTTCCCCCTGCCACTGACACCCCCTCCCACACAGCTCCCTACAGCGTCTTCCTGTCTCCTCTGACTCTCCACAGCCCTCCTGCCTTCCCTTTTTGCTGTCAGATGCTGCTTGGGCACTGTTCCCTCCTGGAGGACAGCATATGGAAGCTCAGCCATTGCTGGCCCATGTAACAATGTCAGTACTGCTGACTGGCCAGTCAGGACAGACTTTCCATGGGCTCTGTGCCTGGGAGGGAACTCGCCCCAAGCGGCTCTTGACAATAAGGAAGAAAAAGGAAAGGGGGAGGGTGCAGAAGCTGCAAAGGGCCAAAGTTGAAGGTGGTAGGGCAGGGGGCTGTTGGGCATCTGACTGCCCCAGACCCAGGCTCAGGGCCACAGCAGCTGCCTGCTTCCCCCCCACCCACACACACCCTCCTGTTCCCCCATACAAATCTAAGATGAGTGGCTTTTCCCCCCCATGCTGATTTGGGGGGGGGACTTCATCTTAGATTCAAGTAAATATGGTCTTTTTTTTTATACACAAAATAAAGACTTGTAATATTCATCACTATGACAATTGACTAGCATATAATTAACTGAACAATTGACTAGCATATAAACTTATGTATGTTTAATAAAATGACATTTGAGGCACTTCTCTGTAGTTTGTTTTATTTATTTATTTATTTATTTTTTGAAATACTGAAACATTGCAATTCTGTACTTGCTGCTTAGGATTTTTGATCCACTGGAGATAATTCTTTATTTAGAAGTGTGGGCTTTTTTCCCTCCACCCCACATCCGTTCTCTTTCGTTTTTTTTTCTTTTTCTTATGTAAAGGAAAAAGCTAAAATCCCAAAGACAATGATCTGGGGTAACCTCTATTTGTAAGGTTAATTTGGGTAAAAACAGTTGTCTTCTGTAAGCACAGGTGGCCACTCATCGGGGATGTTTTATTAAATAGTAAACCTCTTTTGAACTGGAAGTGCTTTATAAGCATTAATGAGCCTACTTTCCTCTGTGGGGTATTATGAGGCTATTATGATCACTGTTCTGATGAGGTTAGAGTGACTTTCTGGTGTTATACAGGAAGACGGTGTTAGAGACAAGAACAGAAACCAGGTCTCTGCTTGGTCTTGTGGCTAAACCACAAGGACTGTGTTTTCTTCCTCACTGTAAAGCAGAGATTACTTAAGGTTGATTTTGTTCTATGGTTTCCCAACAGATCCATTTATTACTGTTCTGTATGTGCCCTATCTTTACATAGGCTTTTTATTTTTCATTTGTGGGTAGAGTTTTTATTTTGGATATTTCACTGCGTCTCTGCCATTAAATATTGATGTAGCTGGTGTAGGGCACCAAAAAAAATCTCCCAGCTGTATTAGATGCTTGGAGAAGGAATGGAATTTGATTTAAATAAGTCCTTCCCCAAAGCCCCCCACTGTCCTTTTAGTTCTAAACATTTCAGTATATGACTTACTAGTATTTCTGTAGAAGGAGCAAATGTTCCAATTTTAAAAGTGTCTCTTAGTAGTGTACTGTCATTAGTGGAGCCCATGGGCATTTGGCATAGGAGAGCTTCTTTCCTATTGGGTTACTGTGGTGTATAAGGCCGTTTGCAAGAATGAGACCAGTTTAATGTCCAGCCTGGAGGGTTAGGGCTAAAGATATACACTTATGAAGTTTTCCTTTTATAGACTGCATAAGGCACAGACTTCAGCTTCCTGTCCTGGCCCTGCTCTGAAGAGCACTGCTTCTCCATAGGGCTTGGGGGGACAGGTACTGATTTTTTTTCAGTCCTTTCAGTCCTTTGGTCTACCTGTCAAAGATTGGCAGTAGTGATGCTGTCTTCCAGGGGAGGTTGCACCTTCAGGGGACAGTGGTTTAGGTCTACTTCTGACAAATTAACTGCCTCCTCTAGGATGGTTTTAAACTTAGAAATCAAGTTATAGGCTGCAGTGTGACCAGGCCATCAGATAGCAAGCCAGCAAGTAGCTCGCTTAGGAAAGAAGTTAGTAGGGAAAGCCTTCTGCCCACTTGATGTGGAAAGGCCCTTTAGGGTCCTCTCCCTCTGACCTTGGATCTTGTGTAGAAGTCCTGGCTTGAGAACACCTGCTTACATAGAAAGGGCAAAAATCTCACAGGGACAACACTTTAGGAGGGGACCCGGCAGCAGGATTGGTTTTCGCTTAACATGTTGGGTGGTTTGAGGTTGAACTTTAAACGCATCCTTGAAAGAACTGAAATACTGCTGTGGTTGGAAGTTTTATTTGATGCACTGACTAGCCAGTAAGTTGACTCACTAGGTGTCACTTCTGTTTTGGCAGTGTGCGCTTTGTTCTGGTAGGAAGTAGGGATGTAAAAGGTTAAACATTTTAAATAAGTACATTTATACCAGTATGCATTACTGGTTACTGTTTAGTGTGGGCCGCAGTCTGGAGGGGAAGGGAGGTGGCATGGTGCCTCAGGAACAGGAAGGCAGCAGGGCAGGCAAGACAGAAGGAAGAGAGAGACAGGCGAGGGGGACTAGTATCCATAGCTAGTCTGCTCCTTCTTTCCCAGTGCGCTGGCGTGGGAAAGCTCTTCGCTTGCTGCTGCTGTCCTCCATCAAAGGCCCTGGGGAGCGATTCTCAGCAGCGGCTGTGTCTGAGCGGGTCTGTGCATGGCCCCGAGCTCCCTGTGCTGCTCTAGGCAAATGGCTGCAGCCCCTGCTTCACAGCGGGGCAGGGCAGGTGCTGGCCTGGGGCTCTGTGCCCCCCCCTCCCCCGCCTGGGACTAGGTATGTGTTATCAGCTAACTGGTGAACCAGTATAACTAGACAAGGTTAAACAGATAATTTTAAAACAATATTTACATCCTTGTTAGGAAGCAAATTGAGACCATGCAGCTCTGCATGCAGTCATTCTCGCCTACTTCAGATCAACACTGAATTGGCAGGGAGGGGCTAATTTTATGTATGTTCCTTGCACTTGCCGTCCCCCTTAATTATATAAGATGTTACAAAGCAGGCTACAGCCGTTCCTAAGTTATGGTAGAATCAGGTCACTTTTCTGCATCTTTTCAAGTGCTGACTGCTTTTAGACAAGTTGAAAATAATTAACCAAAAAGCATGACTTGCATCAAAGCATCTGGAAAAAGATGCTTTGATTGCCAATAAAGCATTGCCTCCTTTATATAAAGGATTTCCTCCTTTTCTTGCCACTATATATAATATTATATAAAGGATTGTCTCCTTTTCTTGCCAATATTATTAACACAGAGTAGTGACTTCCACCAGTTCAGTGGTGCAACTTAAAAAAAAAAAAATATCCTCTGCAAACATATACTGTTTGAATGTTCATCTGTGGTTGGCATGATTAATGGGTGATTTAATAGACATCCATGTTATTTATTCTGCATGCCTCTTTAGCATCTGGGCATCTACCCTGGTGCATGTAATACAGCAGCAATCTTTTTGTAGTCAATCAAATGCTATGGAAATAGGTTTTAGTATATTTAGGTGTCTCTTCTACCCTTCTCTTTAATCCAACATTGACTACTCTAGCTGTGACACGTCCATCATTTTTGTCATGTTTTCTTTATAGATGGTCATCAGAATAGGCTGGTTCTTAATAAATAACTCCAAGTAGTCAACCACTAAAGTCCATTGCACATTTTGGGGAAGAATTAGCTTAGAACCACCAGCTCTCTTCAAGGAAGCTCAAACAAATGGATTGTTATGGAAGTATTTTGAAGTTTTCTACAACATTTAGCTAAAGATGCATCAAATGAGCAGTACGCCCATATAAGCTTTCAAGATTGCTTCATTATCTTCTAAATTACTGTATTTTCTAGTGGACAGTAAGCTAACATTATTGGTGCAGAATCATAACTATTCATAATTTGAGAGCTGAGCTAATCGGAGCTCAGGTAAATTGAATAAAGTAGGAGCTTGATACCATCCAAGTGGGCTTGGTGGAGAATCCGGATCAAGGAAGACACGTGATAATGTCTGCTGGATTCAAGCCAAGTTCCAACACTTGTGATGACTTTGCTGATCCTTTGTATCCAGTAGTATAGACCCTGCGTCCTGT